TTAGGTACATGACCATTTTTTTACAAAACAAACATCTTTTTGGTTCATTTTTGAATTTTCGAAACAAAATCTTTTTCATTGATTTTCAATATATATAATAATATTTTTTGATACAAGACTCAAAAAGCAAGAATTACATAAAGATAAACAAGACCAAACCTGACTCAAACAGACTTTTTAGGATAAAAGGCAAAACAACAAGACTCAAAACACCAAAAGACTCTTACAGACTCAAAAATAATAAAAGAATACTGAAAAAGGACTGATAACTAAAAGAAGACTCTGATCTCTACAGTAGAATCCACCAGCATCACTTTAATCAAGACTCTTGTTCATGCGGCTGACCCCCAACATTGCGGTATATCCTCTCCAAGTCTGCAAATATATGACGAGCAACGTTCAATGATACTTCTGCAAACCGCTCGGGCATCATTCCCTGGAAACTCTTGCATGCTCTTGAGGTATATGTGGCTACCTCGAGGATCTTTCCCTTAATGTATTCCTGAGCCACATGCAACTCTTGATTTTGCTGACCATGGGTCTCAGCTAGATCCAGTGCATCACGATCGGGGTCCAAGGCCATATCTTTCTGGCGCCGAACTTCTAGGGGCTCCGCTTCTAACTAATTGATCACATTTTGGTAGTGGTGTCTTTCTATTTCAAACTCCGCGCTCTGGCTCTCCTTGCTTGACTCATCTCCCCCTATCTGATCCCTTAGACCTTGGATTAATGGAGAAAAACCTCTACGCTCATGATCATGGACTACCCTGAACTGGGCTTCTTTCTCTTCTTGTTGCTGAGCGATTGTGACTATGTTCTTCTTTCGAATTTAGGCTTTGAGTGCTTGCTTCTCTCGTGCCCACTGAGACTTTTCCCGCTCAAAATCAACATGTTGTATGTCCATGGCTGTCTCTAGAATGCCCTTATCTTCTTGTAAAATGTCAATACGAGATTGGAACTCTTGTGCCACTTCCCTTCTGGTTTCTCTAACTCTGGCTTCGATCAACTCCTCCCAATCAACTGCATGTCGTATGGATCTTTCTGGCCTTTGCTCGGGGATAGCCTGGTTGTGAAACCACTCAAGGTATGCGAGGCTTACCTCCCCACATTCATGATCAACTACCATCTCATCTAAATCAGAAAATCGACTACTAAACCAAACCTTTTGTGCATATGACTCCCTTGGAGGTTCCTCTCCCTTGAATTCCCACATGAACGGGCACATGTCCTTAATCGGGGGCCACTTTTGCTCTCTCCCTAGATGGCACATGATGTATAGAGGCGCGTAGGGTTGGAAACCTCTGAAACCCATGAGTATGAAGAACGGGCAATACGTTGACATATGCATGACCTTAGCAGAAGGGAACCAGTAATAGTTCCAAGTGATTCTATCAGCACTCAATGAACCAAGTAATGTCCGCCAAGCCCTCACCCCATCTAGAAGATTACAACTCGCAGCTCTGTCTGGGTGACATCCAATGTAATTCAGCCAATTATCATTGAAATTTACTACTATTGGATGATGATAAAAGTGCTTTATGAACCACATCTGCAGCAGAATGTTGCATCCCTCGAAGTAATTTTCACCTTCTTGACAACGGGTCAAAGCCCGAAAAATATCTCTCAAAATCATGGGAAGAATGGTATGATCCTCGCTACTTTGCAAATACGAGACTACCGCAACCAATTGAATTCTGATGCGCCCACCACACTCTTGAAAGACCCTGATTCCTAGAAATGATATCATGAACGCGAAGATTCTCAACTCCCTCCAAGCGTCATAACTCAACTGGTTGACGAATTCTGTGTCCGAGAAGTTCTCAAACCCTTTCTCGTCCCCAAATTTGTCATAAAGATATTCCAACAAAACGCAACCTTCGTTTCAGCAAACCATTGGAATTCAATGGAGGCATAACTTCTTTAAAAAGTTGTTTACACCAACTTTTCTCGGAGCAGCAGGCATTTTCCCACGAAAGTCTCTCCCCAATCCGGTGAACCCACCTAATTCTTCCAATGTGGGCGTCATTTCACAATCTTTGAACCTGAAGACATTGTTCGCGGGGTTCCAAAAACCCACTAGAGCCTCGATTAAATCTATGTCAGGATTAATTCCCATGATGTTTGTGAGGAACTTGAGGTGCTTAAATACTCGATTCCGTTCCAATGTAGCAAAACTATCCCACCAATTACAGAGACTACTCAGGGTCTTATATCTGATCAAGAACATAGTAGGTGTCTCGTCCCTTACCCTTTTCTGACCGCTTCTTTGTAGAGAACTCATGGTGATCCTAAGAATAAGATAAAAGGGGTTAGGACTTACCTAAACTCTACGCAAATTATGATCATTCTTTTTTTCTCTTTTTTTTTTCTCTTTTTTTGGTCAATTTAGGACTCGATCTATTTTTTTATTATTATAATATATATATATTTTTTGAAATTATCGGACACACAAGTTGAGATGATAAAAGCAGGAAGAATGACTATTATTACGAAAACGGCCATAGGAACAAAATGATAAAAATATATAAAATAAATAATAAATAATGTTTCTACGAAAAACGGCCTTTCGGCACTCCCGATAGGGGTTCAAAGGATGTCTCAGAAAATATAACCAGACCAAACTAGATAAAATGGCTATTTTTGCGACAACAGTCATTCGGTACTTCCGGAAAGGTTTAAAGCTGCTTCGACAAAAATGGCCAGACATAAGGGCAAAATGGTAAAAGGTGAATAAATATGGATAAAGTAACTATTTTTACAAAAAATGACCCTTCAGCACTTCTCAGGAAAATTTTAAGGCTGTCATGACAAAACAGCCGGAACATGAGGGCAAGACACTAAAAAGGTTACCAAAATAGGCTCTCTTTTTTTCCGAAAATTTTATGCACATGCAAAATTTTATGCTCCCTTTTTTTTCTTGAAAAATGTGGGCTGAACCCGATGGAGGTTGCCTACGTATCTCACACCCGGTGAGAATCAAACTCGGGTAGTTCGATAAAACTGGGTACTTATAGTATTATCAAAATAAGTAGTAGAATAATACGACTGTTCCATTAAGAAAGTAAACTCCAGAAAATATTATAGTAATCCATCTTTGTACAAACAAGTACAAACAGGTACAGATGTAGACATACATATTTCATATTTGAGAAAATATTTCTTTTTTTATTTATTGATCTCTTTCAGAAAGACTTATCCTCTATATACACAAATGCCGACTTAAGATAAGTACTCTATTTGATAAATATTGCTATCCTATCTCAACCTAACATGAGATAGTTTGAATACTATAGACAAATTGAACTTCAGGCTGGATGTCATCCCTTTGGCACATCTTTCTAATATTTTTAACGCATATTTTTTAATAAAGTATAATGAGTTCTATATACGCACTGATAGTGCAAAAAAATTACACTGATAAAAAGTTTGTGATAAGTTTAGACTATGGTAACTAACTTGCTGGTATAATTACACGTAACGTTAGCATACATAATTAATTATAGATATAATATTTTCTCCTAAACCTCAGATATATTTCGTCATATCTGTGAGCAATATTAAATGACTGCAGTCAAATATGTTCATTAACAGATACAAAAAGACATTAATAAATGACAGCTTGTCCTTTCCACCCCAACAAATGATTCAGTAACAATTGATAATACTTGTCGAGTTACATATAATTTTTTTTCCAATTAAAGAAACCCAGGTGGAAAGTAACGACCAAATTAAAGAATCTTCTAGAAGCTATGAGGGGTCGTTTGGTATGCGGGATAATGTTTGGATAAGATGAGATAAAGTGTGGTACGAAATTTATATTATGTTTGATTGATAGTATAAATTTATTCCGGAATAAAGCTATACCGTCAATCAAACATGGTATAAACTTGGCCAAATACAATTCACGACCTTTTCTAGAAGCTCTTAGTATTAATCCTGTCGTGTTTTGTTTTTCGGTGAGAATGGATTCAAGAATAGTAGAAGCAGGAAAAATAAAAAATGGGAGGACTTTTAGAAATATTATAAGTTCAATTTGGTTGTCAATTTATTTAGATAACAATCCACTTGCTTGACTAATTCAGATTCGTGTTAGGATGACTAACTAAAGCAAGCAGAGCTTAGTTATTGATTCGGCATTCTAGCACTTTTAAGTTATTGATTCTAAATTAATAATTTGTACATATTAAATAAATTTTTTAGATAAATATAAAATTTAAAATAAATTTACTGATTTCGACAGAACCTATACCATCATTGCTAGCTCCGTCCCTAAAAGCCAGTAAAGCACATCTTATTAGAAAAACATTCATTCTTAAAATTTGAACCGAAAATCTATAGTTAAAGATGAAGAAATTTCAACTATCTTATCACGTTCGTTAATAATATAATATAATATAATATAAGATAATGGGTATGCAAGTATTTTATTTGTGAATCATATGCAAGCTTTAAAAGAAACAAAAAGATTAGTATGCATTAGGTTCACATGGGTAAATAAAAGGAAAAAAAATATAGTTATAGTGGTACTAGTGATAGCAGCAAGTCGGCAACAATATTATCGAGAATAGTAATATTTGAAAAGCTATGTCGTCACGCTTGCCTACTCCAATTGGCCAAAAGACCACTCAAAGTAGCAAATTTCTATCTTTTTACACCTACTACCATCTAGATAATTCATCTTTAGACTAGTACCATATAATTAAAACAATAAAAGGTCTCTTTTTTTTTAAAGTATTTATGAGGACAAAAGAAAAAGATATAATTAAAAAACAAAAAAAAAACAATATTGAATACACTAGCTCACTTGGAGAGCTCCTGCCTTCAATTATTTATGTGAAAGGTTCAAACTCCATTAGTACCGTAACATTTTCTTCCCCTTCTTGATTTAATAAAAGAAAAAATTAAAAAGCAGGTTAAACGTAACTACATGATAAAGAAAATTTGGCCATTGGTGTGTATAAACTAATTAATCCAAACAAAATATAACTTATCTATCCCACAAAAAATGTGTTATTTGGTCATGACAAAATTAGGTCAACTAAGAGCATAGTCAAACCACCAGACTAATAACCCTTATAAATCCCCTATGGGCATGACCTCCTCAATTCCATTCTTTCTTTTCCAACCAAAACCAGTTAAACCAACCACAATCAAATTCAAGAAGAATAAAGAACCCCACAAAAACATATCATTTTCTCAAACATTTGCATGAAATCATGGTGGTTTTACCAAAAAAGAGAGAAAGAGAAAGCGAGCTTGATACCATAACAACCATGGCTAATTACTTGATGCTTCTTTCTAGCCAAGAAAATCATTTTGACAACATCAACAACTCTCCTAATCGAGTTTTCGAGTGCAAAACTTGTAATAGACAATTTTCTTCATTCCAAGCTCTTGGTGGTCATAGAGCAAGACACAAGAAGCCAAGATTAATGGGGGAATTGAATTATCATCAGTTGCCAACTTCTCCTCCTAAACCAAAAACACATGAGTGTTCAATTTGTGGACTTGAGTTTCCTATAGGTCAAGCTTTAGGTGGGCATATGAGAAGGCATAGGGCTATGTTGAATGAAAATAAAATTCAAGTTCCTCATCATGTTGTAAAGAAATCAAATAATTGCCGAAGAGTTTTATGTTTGGATTTGAACTTAACCCCGTTTGGAGAATGATTTAGAGTTCAAGGTCGGAAAGTCAACTCCTGTAGTTGATTATTGAACAAATAAATCCTATCTAGACGCTATATTTTTGTCTCTTTCAATTTTATTTCTTTCCTTTTTCTTCTTATGGATCCTGTATTAGTTAGATAGGGATTTATGTATTTGTTTATACGATGGATATAGGCTGGACGGAAGTATACAACATGCGTAGGGTGGTCAATTGCTCGTCGGAAAATTATACGATGTATATACATCAAATAACACTTCTTTTATATATTTATTAAATCTTGAATACTCTTAGCGGAATTGTTAGCTTCACATTAGAGCCTTACCTTGTGGATACTTTCTAGTTTCTACTGAATGATAGCAAGGGGATTTATTTATTCATTTACACTTTTAACTTGGATTGCACTTAAAATCAGAGGTGGACCTATATATGGTGTAAAGAAAGGGTAACTAGAACCCGAAAAATTTGGCAAAATTCCATGTATACATGTGGATTTCTTTACAAAATAGTAATATATTAGTAGTGGCGTCTCATATATATATATATATATATATACAAAGCAAATTTTGGTTGAATATAAAAGTATACCAGCGACCTTCAAATCCTGGGTCAACCTCTGCTTAAAACAATTCTTTGATATAAATTTTTCTTTCTTTTGGAATCTTTACACAAATACTCGGCCGAGTTTACTGTAACGACCCGGCCGGTCATTTTAAGAATTAATGCCCCGATACCCTATTAACTGCTTTTCTCGTATTTATTTCTGCTATTGTGAGTTGTCTGGATGATTTATTTGGAGTTTCGGAGAGTCGTGAGACACTTAGTCCCTAAATGAGAGTTTAAGTTGTAGAATTTGGACCGTAGCCAGAGCAGTGTGAAGACGACCTCGGAATGGAATTTCGTTGGTTCCGTTAGCTCCGTTGGATGATTTCGGGCTAAGGGTCATGTTCGGGTTGTGTTTTGGAGGTCCGTAGCTTATTTAGGCTTGATATGTCGAAAGTTGAATTTTTGAAGTTTCCGGTTCGATAGTGAGAATTTGATCTAAGGGTCGGAATGGAATTCCGAAAGTTGGAGTAGTTCCGTAGTGTTGAATGTGACGTGTGTGCAAAATTTCAGGTCATTCGGACGAGGTTTGATAGAGTTTTTGATTGAAAGCGTAATTTGAGAGTTTTTGGAGTTCTTAGGCTTGAATCCGATATTAAATTGGTGTTTTGATATTGTTTTGAGCATTTCGAAGGTTGGAACAAGTTGAAATGATGTTTTAGGATTGATTGACATGTTTGTTTGAGGTCCCGGGGGCCTCGAGTGAATTTCGGGTGCTTAACGGAAATTGATTTTGGACTTAGGCAAAAATCTGATTGCTGAACCTGTCATAACCGCACCTGCGTGTGTGGGACCGCAGGTACGGCGCCGCAGAAGTGGCTAGGTGACTGCAGAAGCGGAATTTGGTCCAGGCTCCAGAAGTCACAGGTGCGGAAAGGCTGTCGCAGGTGCGAAAAGGCAGTCGCAGGAGCATAAACTTGGGTTTAATGAAAAGTCGCAGGTGCGACTTGGTCTACGCAGAAGCGGGATCGCAGGTGCGGTCCCAGGGTCGCAGATGCGGTTTCACTGTTCAGAAAAAGGGGCAGAACGAGGGTTTGGTCTAAAAGCTTGGAAAATTGATTTGGGAGCTCCAGATTGGTGATTTTGAGAGAGATTTTCACCTGGGTATTTTGGGTAAGTAATTCTTACTCGGTTTTGATTAATTTCTACGAATCAGTACTTAATCCTTTGAATTCGAATTTGGGGTGAAAACTTTGAAAACGTTCCTAGGCCTAATTTTGGGGTTTTGATGGAGATTTTGATGTCAGATTGGAATAAATTTGGTATAAATGAACTCGTGAGAGTATGAGGATTCTGAATTTGTAAATTTTACTCGATTCCGGGATGTGGGCCCGGGGCCATTTTGGTCATTTTACCTAATTTTTTGTATTAGCTTAGAATGTATTGATGGTGTCAGTTACTTGAAGTTATATTTACATTATGCAATTGAATTGAATAGATTTGAGCCATTTGGAGTCGAGTACTCGTGGCAAGAATGTAGTTTCGGGTTGATTTTGAGCCGGTTCGAGGTAAGTGGCTTGCCTAACCTTGTGTGGGGGAACTCCCCTTAGGATTTGGTATTGTTGATTTGTTAAATGCCTTGTACGTGAGGTGACGAGTGCGTATTTGTGCTAATTGTTGAAAATCTTGTTTTCATTAAGTAACTTTAAGTGTGTTTCCTTTCCTGTTTATACTACTTGCAATTTAAGCCTACTGTTAGCTTAGGGAAGCATGACTAATTGACTTAATTGTTTACTTGCTCAAACTGCCTTATTTGGATTATGTGTAGCATGCTAGGTTAGAAATACCTTTTTACCTTGGTATGAAATTGAATTTAATTGAATATTCTTCGTGTTGCTGCTGTGTGTTTACTTTGGGACTACGAGACAGTATCCCGGAAGATCCCCTGCACATATATTAATTTGGACTGTAGTGCGGGATACCGAGGGATCCCCAACACGTATATTGAGGATACTAAGAGATCCTTCGGATACTGAAAGATCCCTAGCACACATATTGAGGATACGAAGAGATCCTCGGGATACTGAGAGATCCCCGGTTGTTATCTCTGTGTTGAGCGGTATTCCTTTATTGATTATTTTATCTCTGTTATAGTTATTGTTACTCTTCTTATCATGTGTTACTTCTTATTGTTAGCATTTAATTATATTGTCGTATTCTATACTGTTTTACCTCATTTTTCAGCTATAATTAGTAGGGCCCTGACCTTCCTTGTCACTACTCGACCGAGGTTAGGCTTGACACTTACTGAGTACCGATGTGGTGTACTCATGCCCTTTCTGCGCATGTCTTTCATGTGCAGATCCAGGTAATTCGACTCAGTCCTACCACTCTTGAGGCGAGGCGATTCTCCAGAGACTTCAAGATATATCTGCAGCGTCCGCAGATCGAGGAGTCCCGTTCCATTCTCTCTAATAGTTTAGCCCTTAATGTATTTATCTTGATTTAGACATTCTGGAGTTAGAGTACGATGTAACATTTATAGCTTGTGATTTCATGAGATTCCAACCGGGTTTTGGGAATTATTCAGTTTTTGAGATCTTGTATTGGTATATGTCAAGCGGCATCTTAAACACTTCTATATTTGTTTATCTTCAGTTTTTATTAGTTTTTTCGCATTTTGGTTCTTTTTCCGCAATTGTTAGGCTTACCTAGTCGTA